TGCAAAACAATTTTTTTTCTAAGAAGATTGCCAAGACGGAGTTTCTTGGGGCTTCTACTTGACAGCATTCTTAATGCAACTGAAAGAATTAATCTCTCTCTCCCTGTTTCAGTCTTTGCAACCTAGAAGATGCTGCTCTGTTTTCCCCCAAGACTTGTTTTTTGGTGAACCAATCTAAGCAAAAGCCAGCTGCCCTGAAAGACTGGGCATTACAGGTCACTGAGGCAGGCTGGAATTTCCCACGCTGGCCAGAGACAGCACGGAGCATCGCATTGATGTCTCAGCTCAGGATCTTAAGTAGTGCCAGAGGTTGCATGGGGAAGCGCTGACAACACTCCTCGACGACACAGAACAGCAGCCTAACCGCATGTTCCTAACGCAGCCCAAGATGGAAGAAATTGTGGTCACAAGCTTTGTTTGACAAGATAGCCAAGGAGAAAATGTCACCTACACGCAACAAATTACAGCCTGTCACGGTTGTGCTCCGCATGGACCCTGACAGTTCTTGAAGGCTGAAATCATGTACCCTCCCACTTGTACAAATCTGAACAAGCTGCTTCTGCCATGCCACCGCCAGCCAAGCGCTCTCTCCAGGCATTTTAATGTGGGAAATGAAAATGGTGAAATTTCCCCTCTTTCTGCCCTGCTTGTTCCTTATCTCTGAGACGACAAGAAGCTCTACCTCCTACCATGGCAAAAGATTTCTCAGCTAGACGAAATGTTTTACAGGATGAATAACCACATAATGACGGGCATAAGACAAGTGCTAAATTTACTACAGCTTTGTACTGGCTGATCTTGCATAAAATGAAGCCATTTAGTAGTAACTGTCGCTCCACGTCTCCTTCTGGTTTACTGCAAAACATCGGTGTTCCTTAGTTCTTACAAAATCAACCATATAGCTTTGGCAACAACAGTCAGAAATGCTACCATCTCCCAGCACGCTAAAAATATCAGTTCTTTGCCAGAAACATCTCCCGGGGGGGGTCACACAGAGTCTCTGCTTGAAAACAAGTGTTCCAGGTATTTGCAAAAAAATTGCTTTGAAAACCCACAGTGATAACTGATCTGTACAGGAAGGTCTTTAACAAACTGCAGGAAGATGGAGTTCACCTCTTGGCTTCTCCATTTTGTTGACACAGAACTGAAAAACATTATACTGAGACATGCCCTAGGGCTGTTGTTTGGCCAAAACAAGAACCTTTCATTCCTTGTTGTTGATGAATGGTTGGTAGAGAAAGCAAGAGTTTTGCAGGCTTAAGATTTGATCCCATGTGTGGACAAGAGAACAGGACCAGCACATCGAGTCCCACATTTGGCAGTGTGAGCCAGTGAGCTTCTCTCTATCTCAGTTTCTTGCTCTATCAGATGGAAGCAGTTTTTCCTTACCAGTCAAAGATGCTGCAAATTGCACCGCTCATTTGTATTAGTATTTGGGATCAAAGGTACTCGGCTACCTAAGCATCTGGTTCGGGGTTCTCTGGAATCAACAAACAGCCATCTTTTGAAGATCATTACTTAAGTAATGGTGTATCATAATCTTGGTACGTCACCTCCTGCATAATGCTTAAGTTGAAACTTCTAAATAGCATCCGCTTACCACTCGAGTCCTGCATCTGCATTCAAGGGCTTCAGTAAAATGTCTGGTTTCCAGAAGCACTGAGCTGCAGTTGTGAGGGAAGATGAAATAAACTACCTAAAACTGCAGAATATTGTGCTGCTGAAAGCTTTTTTGCTTGAAAAATCTTTCATAGGTTAGTAAATAATAATGTCCACATAGCTCAAAAAATAAAAGCTATGATAGTCCTCAATCAGGTGGATGCATATATATGTGTTTACGGACATGCAGAACTAGACTATCTTTTTATCCAATTCTCGTTCTAGGGTATAAGAATACTTTATTAAGCAGACTAAGTTAAAATCCTAGCTGCTGCTGATCTCAGCTCAAAAACACAATCAGGCTGGTCTGTGTGATGATCAGGGCAGCTGCTGAGCTAACTTGGGTACATTTCTCACGGTGTTTCTACATATGCCCTTGAGGTATTAGTAAGCATAGGGTAATTGGTAACACGGCCTGGAACAAAAAGGTGTTTATTTTGTTGCTGCTTGACTAAGGGCACATCAATTATTAGCTGGATATCAGAAATGAGGAGAGACATAACTGCTTTATGAAACTCATAAATATTATGCCTTCTAAAAGGGCTGCTTGAAATGTTTTCCTGTTTTTGAATGACCCCTTGTTGTCATTTTAAAGAAACACAGAGTGGAAGAGGGTCTCGGAGTCCTATGGCACTTCACAGATGAGGCAGAATCTATCCAAGGCTACATCCATCCAAGCAAGGCACTGCCAGAATAGATCTGTTGCCCATCAGCAGGGCTGATGATCTGCCTTGTAGGAGACATGGAATGTCATCCCATGACGTCCCTTGTTTCCCAATGCTAGTTATGGTACTCCTTATACTGGAGCTACAGCTGGTTTGTTTGGTTGATTTTTTTCCTTTTTCTTTTTATATCTTGAAAAATATCTGGTGTCTGGTCCCTGAAAAAGCTTCTGGAGCAGGTTTGGTGCAGGATACAGCCGTAACAGGTGACTCAGTTGAGCCAACTGAGAGAGTGAATGAAAGTCTGAAGGAGAATGAGAGGCTGAAGGAGCTGGATCTCTTCAGCTTGGAGGAGACTGAGGGGTGTCCACATTAATGTTTATAAATATGTAAAGGGGGAGTGTCAGGAGGATGGAGCCAGGCTCTTCTCAGTGATGTCCAATGACAGGACAAGGGGCAATGGGTACAAGCTGGAACACAGGAGGTTCCACAAAAACATCAGGAAAAACTGAGGGTGAGGGTGACAGAGCCCTGGAACAGGCTGCCCAGGGAGGTTGTGGAGTCGCTGTCTCCGGAGACTTTCAAAAAAAGCCTGGCCATGTTCCTATGTGACCAGCTCTCGGTGATCCTGCCTTGCAGGGGGCTTGGACTAGATGATCTCTAGAGGTCCCTTCCAACCCCTGACATTCTGTGATTCTGTGAAACTAGCAAGGACCCAGAAGGGATACAAATGAATAGAAAAAGAGTGAGAACTTCTTATAATTGTGCACAAAGCCATTTTAATTAGACTATCAGTGACTCCTCTTTACTTTTTCAAATGAACTTCTGGGTGCAGGATGCCTGTTGATACACACAAGTATTATTTTTTTTTTGACCTAGGGCAAAACAGAAAGGCAAAAGGCACCTCGTCTCTGCAATTCCCATTGCAACATGTATACCCTGGAGAGCAAATCTACAGCTTTGTGGAAGCATTAACAGCTTTTTTGGGGCAGTTTTATGTTCAAATCTTTCTTCCTGCACACATTACACACTCATACCCCCTACAGAGCAGGGCATGAAAGGTTTCTGGGAAACTGGGCTCTGCCTTTTCACAAAAGGAGGACAGATGTGCCCTGAAGTCCTCCTACACGATACCAAATGCTGTGTGTACAACGGACTTGCTGGTTAATGATCTTGCCCGTAAGTAATGTTTTAACCATAGGGTAGCTTTTGTTTACTTCAAAAGCCACAAAGCCAAAGAGGAAGTGTAGGAGAATGTGGGCAGGATGGTGGCCAGGAGCCTCATGACCTCATCTTTTTCCGCCATACAGGGATTGGTGGCCTTGTCTGGGACAGGGTTTAAAATCCCTGAGGTTGGAGATGTCAGGCAGTCAGGGGACAAGGGGAGAAAGCCAGAGCTGCTGGGAGCCAACTGGCTGGAGCTGCTGCTGGAATCACTAAGAAGAGCACTCCTGTTGCGTCTGACTCCTCCAGCATCAGAATAGGTAATTTTTTCGCTTTTTTACCTGATATGTGCCATTCTGTCTGCAGCTTTAGTCAGGGAAGCATTAGGCAGGAGATTCTCAAAACTGCTTCCCTGGGCAGGGATGTTTGATGTCCTTATAGGAGCAAGGTTACCTTAGCGATGCAAGATATTACACATAATCACAATTTTAAAGCTGTGTGCTGATAGACGTTGAGAGGAGGTTACTGAAAACCCTGCCACTGAACCAAGTGCTGGAAACTCAGAGCTGGTACTTGAACACAGAACGCTTCCACTCTCGTGTAACCACTGCCTGGCAGCGACTGTGTTTCTCCTGGCAGGCTTGCAGTTTGTGCTGCAAAATACGGAATGGATGGGACACGCACCCTTCTCCATGTAACTCTTGAAGTTGCGATGCCTCTAATAGAGTGTCCTGTCTCAGGGCCAGCCTTACTAACGTATTTTAAATGTGCCCTTAGCAGCCTTTCTTTTCTGCTATGATTTACTAAATTTTTAAACACCTCTTGTTCATCAGTAAATCAGTTTCTCAGGAATATTTTTTATCCCTGGAACTGGTCCTTCAGCAGAAATCACTTTTATTGAATTGCTAAAACTTCAATGTGAGTAGATATTTCACTTCATCTCTTGCTTGGAAATACAGGTTATTCTGTTCAAACTTCCAGAGGGGGAAATAAAGGTCAATGAACAAAAGCAGTTTGTGTTCATATAAACTGAGTTTACTTACAGCAGCTCTAATTAATAACCCTGAAAAAATAACTGAAAATAAAAATAACTGGAAAGAAAATCCAAGTTGAGTTTGTCTTGTCCTCTCTCTTCTGATAAAATGATGTTAAATGAATGAAGATAAATCAAAGATGATCTGTGTAGCACTGTTTTTCACATTGCTTTTCCTTTGCTGGTGCAAGTCAGCAGATGACAGGAGTCTGCTCACCTTCTCAGTGTGGCTGCTCTCACTGCTGCTCAGCACTTCTGAGTACCTGGTTTTAAAATTCTTGTAGCTTCTGAGCTGCTAAGTCATTACAAAACCAGCTGCGTGTGGGCTACTGATGGAGGACAGAGGAAAAATATTTGCATGGGCAGGTTAATCCCTACCTGAGAGCTCAACACAGTGAATTACACCAGGAGAAAGAAAAAGCTTATGGCATTTTTGTGGTATTTTACTTTGTTCCAAAATATTTTCCAGGTGAAGCATCACAATGAAGGCAGCAGTTCTGTGTTTATGCCTTATCAGCATCACCGCTGCATGGCCAGTGAGTAAATCACAAATGTATATGAAGAATCACTTGCATATTTTCTTTGCATATTACCAATAAATCAAAACTAAAAAATATTTTTTCTCTTTTCTCCCTTTAAGGTGAGTAAATCCAAGCAGCATGCCATTTCTGCCAGCTCCGAAGAAAAATATGTAAGCTTCTTTTGTCTTTCTATTCATTTTCTTTAATAAATCTTTTTTTGATTTTTCCCCCTCTAATACATATTGTCTGATAGTTGTTTTATGATTATAGCTGCTTGCAGAACATGTCCTCACCTGGACATTATGAGCCAATTTCTCAGGTAGCCAAAGAAGAGAGCCACTGACATCAGTAGACTTTTGCCAAGTTAGCTGTCCTGTTTGTGGATTTTTGTTAGTTGTGTCTCTGGACCAGCACTGGAAACATTTTTGCTTAATGAAAAATGTATAAGCTGTCAGTTAAAAAGAGAAAAGGACTGTAGCATGGCACAACTATTATAACCCACATTCATTAGTGTGGATCAGATTACAGTATCTGATGTTGGAAGAGGACTTCAATCCAATTCCCATTGTATTTTGCAGTGGTGTGAGTGAACTGTATTAGGCTTGTATATAGCTATTTCATTTATACTCTATTACCAGCTACTACCCATGTAAAATCAATTCTTTGCGCTGAGATTCAGCTACTACATTCAGTTTAGAGTCTTTATGACAATGAGATAAATCACTAGTAGGAAAAGGACCTAAGAATTAGCAGAAACAATGATCATTAGATATAACTCCAAATTTCACTCAATAAAAACAAGCTGGAGAAACTGATGTGAAATTCCCCAGGCTCTGCTTGGGGTACAGTGTTCTTCTGGGATCACAGCTTGTTCCAAGTCCTCTTCCTACTGCAACGAGTTGCTGAGGACACATCCTGTACAAAAGGAGTATGTACTGCAGATGCCACGTCTACCTGAAAACAGAGGTTGTGACACAGGTAGCTTTGCCTGCTTCTGTACAATCGTTTGTGAATTAAGACCACACTTTTTTTTTCTCTTGAAGGATGCCAGGGGCCATCACTCACACAGATATCACCCCCACCATGACGTGAATTCTCAGTCTTGGGAAAGTCTGCAGCACGCACAGAATGACCTGGCATCACCTCAGCAGGTACGGGCAACTAATCAGAAGAGAAAGCAGAGCATCTTTCAATGCCAAGATTTGCAAGTTAGGATTAAGTGCTTATAGAATAATCAACACGCTGATCAGCAATTCTGCATATGCCTTTGCGTGCTAATAGTGAGTTTTATGTTGTTTTCAGACTCTTTACTCTTCAGAAGAAAGCGTGGATGTCGCAGTACAACCGGTAAGTGTTTTGACCAGTAAAACATCCTCAAATGTGGTTCTTGTGGTAACTTCTTTCCCGAAATAAAAGAAAGCTTCAGACAGGGTGAAGCAAATTCAAAGCAATTTGTGCATGTTTCTCCTCGACAGTGTGTAAGCCCTTGGTGGCAGGACAGATACCAGTCTGCACATCTCACATATCACAGAATCACAGAATCACAGAATGTCAGATCATCTAGTCCAGCCCCCCTGCCAGAGCAGGATCACCTACAGTATATGCATATATATGCCTATATACAGTATATAGCATATAAGTTCATTTGTCTGATGCACAATAAATGTTTTCCAGCACTTTGCTGATGTGTCAAGCAAGAGCCATGAAGATGTGGATGATGACGATGATGATAACGATTCCAATGACACGGATGAATCCGATGAGGTTGTCACGAGTTTTCCCACAGATATTCCAATAACTGTACCCTTCCCTCCTTTCACTCGGGGAGACAATGCTGGCAGAGGTGACAGTGTGGCCTACAGGGTGAGGGCAAAAGCCACAGCAGTGAAGTCTAGCAAACTCCACAAAGCTCCGAAAAAGGTAAATGGCATTAAGCAGTGTTACCTAGGTTTTTGGAGAAGGGTAGTCACCCTGAAAATGGGCATGTTACCTTGTGGGAGCTAGTTTTGAAAAGGATTGGTAAGGGAAAAGTGGGTATAGGTGAAGGAATGTATTTTGTTTCTCTGGACAGCCCAAATCAGCAGGTATCAATGGCTGTTAATGTGCCAAGTCAGGAGCATGGCCAGCTGCTGCGAGCTCTGCAATACTGCAGTTTGCACTATTGTGATATACTTTGCATCTATGTAATCTGAAGCCAGGATCAAACTTAAGTTCCTCGTAATGTGAAGTGTAACTCCACTGAAGACCACGGTGTCTCCAGGCAGAGATGTATCACACAGGCTTTGAGCGTCCCCGCAGCCTACGCAGCTTGCTTTGGTGTAGTACAGCAGCACCTGTTCGCAGATCAGTTCCTTGGGAGTGACATCTCGCTCTTGGTTTGCTCTGTAACACAGCTCATCTATGATGCCACGGAGGAGGATGAGAGTGCCCTAGATGCAGACAGCCGGGCACGCTCCCTGGAGGTTCCTGCTGCCCGCGTCTCCCTGGGGAAGCACTCCATCAGTGGAGAGTGGGCTGACAAGAGCCGCGGGCAGGACAGCAGCGAGCTGGACAGCAAGCAGCGTGACCGGAGCATGGAAAACGACAGCCGGCAGAAATTTGATAGCCATGAGGTGGAAAGAGATGATAGGAAGGCTGGTGTCAGAGGGGACAGCCACCAGAGCATGGAAAGCAGGGAGAGCCAGGTCCGCATTTCAGCTGAGGTCCCCGACGATAACAGCAATGAAACGCTGGAGAGTGCCGAAGATGCTCGAGACCATCGCAGCATCGAAAATAACGAAGTCACCCTTTAAAAAGGGAGATTAATGTGATGTTTCCCTTCTTTTTTTTTTTTTTAAATTTTTTTTCAATTCCTACCTAAGGGGAGGGGGGAGTAGCTTCAGTTCAGGTAACTGTTTGTAAACGTAGGGCGTGGGGTGACCTTTGGGGTTCGGGGCAGCTTCTTTACCTAGTGGCCTCCGCTCGGTC